ATTAACAGCAGGTTTATTCAACTTTCAAGGATGTTCAAATTGTAGTTTCAATATGAATACAACCACAGAGTGACATATTTTGTGTATGGACCAGGTGCTCTAATGGCAAATGCCACGCCAGTGCCAGGTATAGGAACAAGACTCGGAAAATGTTAGGTTAGTGAGCATATCAACAATAATGATAGCGATCATTTATTTCTCTCCATATTCCACTGTGTTTGGCTCGGTAATCAAATGAAAATAAACAATCGTTGTGTGAGACAAAATAGTATTGCTGGCCGTGGTTATTCAAAAACAAGTTATCCATTCAATCAGATCCCGAGAATGATTGAAATACAGATCAAGCAAGTGTGTGAATATTGAAGGCTTTCCTGATCAAGACAAAAATACCTAACTATGAAAAGTTGTGTTCATATCTCCAGCATGGGTATGATATGCAAAATCTGCCGAAATCGCGAACCAATCAGGTATGCGTCCCTACCCAAATAACCAACCACAACAATGTTGTCAATTCCTGATGACCTAGTACACCCTTTTTTGATTCCTCTAGGAGCTGAAATTCAACTTTAGCTCCAGGGAACTGCGATGAGAGTGTTGCCTAGCAACATGGTGTCAGTAATAGGGACGTCATATCAAGAGCTAATTTTGGTATTAAAATGGACTTTTTGGTGTCGGTTGCAGAAAATAAATATTAAAACACCAAGATAGTAAAAGATATCATTATTACCCAGGGACCAAGATTATATTCCTAGCCGCCAGCCGAGGGATAAGAGTCCCGTAGAAATAATATTCTTCACTACCAAGGTGTATATTGATTTTTTTTCACCACTATAGCAATATATTACAATCACTATATCTCTGTAGTAGTGAAATATAGGCCTATTGTCACTATGAAAGCACTTATTTTCAATTCTAATTAAAATCAAGCAGTCATGACCATGACATTATAATATGACAAGTCGTTATTGATAAGTATACCTATACTAGATTCGAGTGCCATTTCTGCGATTCTGGCATCAGAACAATGAGGTGGCTATGTCTTCATGAACTCTAGAAGTTATAATAAAATGACGAAAACTACCTTGGCAGAGAAAACACACTTCACGCCTTGAAAAGGAGTGCGTAATGGTAGGTTCTAAAGCTAGTGGTGGAAAACGAAATACTGTTATTCTTTCAATGATATTATATAATTATGCTGTTCTCTCCTTGTCTTTATCTATATACGTTCCGGGATTGCATTTGCTCCCGCTCTCAACATAAAAATGCATATACCGGGTGGCTACGGAAGTATTGCCTACGGAATATCTCAGTTATTGTATGAAGTAGGTTTGTGAAATTTGGAGCATCGATATAATAACATAAGAGCTAGAATTTGAGCATATTGACATGTCGAAGTTAACTTCCGGTCTGACCGGAAGTAACATCAACTTTCTTATTTCAAATGGAAACCCTATTGTTTTTTCTTTTCACTGTATTCAGCATTCAATTCCCTTTCTAATGACATATTACAATCTGGTATCCAACCAGAAACTGAATCAGAAAAAAATTATTATTTAAATTCACCGAGTAGGCCGTGGAAGCAAAATGAAAGCCAAAAAATGACTTTCTATTATATCATTAGAAAGGAATGGTTATCGAAACCCTAATGCTGATAAGTCGTAACCCACAAAAAATTGAAAAATAGTATTTTTTCACCAAAGGAAAGTACACATGCATTTCTATATACTGTTAAATTCTCGTAACCCAAATAAAATGATAAATCGGTGATTCCCGCGATTTCCAACATGTCTGAACCCACGTACGGCATTTATATCACGTCTAACTAGTCGTATCCCACAGTGCAGTTCAAACAAGCAAAGCGGCTGACTAGTCTGACATGGTGCTCTGCATTAGTGAAACGAGAAAATAGGTAGGTGATATTTTTTTTACCTCGGCGTCAAAGAAGCATCTTCCCAGCCAACCATCGTGTGACATCAACATCTGTGTGATGTTACAACCTTGCATAAATGCAATATCTCGTTAACACATCTTATCGACGTAGATTCGATATCAACGTCGCAAGGTGTCATCGCAACCAGGAAACTATGTAATGTGGCAGCGACTTCTTCAAACTCATCTCTTCGACGTTAACTAAATAATTCACATTTATATCCTCATGAGATATCTTTGAGACCTGTGAGTGTGACGCAGACATGCGCTAAACGAACGCACACGCCAGACGCCATGTTGAGCTGTGCATGGCCATGTCAGTCAGTCAGTGAGTGAGTCCGACTCCGTACAGACTATTTCCTTCCAAATTCTCTGTTGAAATATCTACATCTATAGCATATCTATAGCACATATTATAGCAGCTTCAAATTGGAGGTATACAATCATTTAGGAACGACGGTTAGTTCAATCACGATAGGTACTATTGTAATTATCTCTGAGATAGGAATATTGCAATCTAAAACAAGGTGGATGAAAGATCCCAAGATAATGTAAGTGTATTTGATATGTATCATTTATGAATAATGTATATTTGTAATGCTATATATATATGTGTCATGTTTTACTTCAAGATTACTAATTAGGGTGATTGTCATGATAAGTTTTGTATCATCTGTTTTTTTTTCGGGAAATAAACATTTTCTTCGTAAAGTTGAATAATTATTATTATTATATATCCCACGAATATCACAGGTACGGCGACCACATCATCGATGTCGCAGTGTGATGTATTTGTACACTTGTATGTGACCTGGTAGTGATTTTTCATGTGATGTCGCATTTCATGTCTGAACGACGTCACAGTGATGTTGCTTGAGTCGGACATTTTCACATCGCCACGTTGTATCGGTAACATGTTTGTGACTTCAAATGCGATATCGCATGTCACAAAGTGATGTGGCGTATACATCACTTATACATCTCATGGTTGGCTGGGTTGTATTCGTATTTTAATATAGAATACCAAAAACCTTTTTTTTTTATACAATAATATGCCTGTTGGAACCAAGTTGTGGTTTACGATGTATTCGAACAAACTGTGTTTACTTATTTATTTTGTGGGTTACGTCCGTTTTCTAGTTCTCATAATATTATTCGTTTTTGGTGCCTCCTGTAAAATTTCATTGAGTTGGGTTACGACATGTCAGCATTAGGGTATCGTTATGCTGAATAGTACAGGCAAGAAAAAGTTGTATGTTCCTATTTAAGTTATGGACCTACAGAGTATTGTTTTTTTCCCAATTTTTCCAATATTTTTTTTGGCGGCTTTTTATAACGCCGACGAATGAAAATAAAATATCACAGTAGTAGCAACTGTCATCAAGTGACGTATGGTTTCCATAGCCAACTTTTCAATTTTTGGCTTTCATTTTGCTTCCACGGACTACTCGGTGAATTTCAATAATAATTTTTTTCTGATCTAGTTTCTGGTTGGATACCAGCTTGTGATATGTCATTAGAAAGGGAATTGAATGCTGAATACAGTGAAGAGAAAAAAAAATAGGGTTTCCATTTAAAATAAGAAAGTTGATGTTACTTCCGGTCAGACCGGAAGTTAAATTCGACATGTCAATATGCTCAAATTCTAGCTCTTATGTCATTATATCGACGCTCCAAATTTCACAAACCTACTTCATACAATAACTGAGATATTCCGTAGGCAATATACTTCCGTAGCCACCCGGTATATTATTACACAGACTATTTCACTTATCACATGATTTGACCAATCTTGAGCCAGAGACAACGTGTGCTTATCACGAATATTTTCCTCATATATAAAATGTCGCATAAGAGCAATGCAATTATCGAAAAATTACAGCGGTAATTGCACTGCAGGGCGAAGATTGCACTGCGAAAGCACCAAGTCGTCATAACAACACTATGTCGCTAGACGCCAGTAAACAACACTATGTCGCTAGACGCCAGTAAACAACACAAATAGATGTCAGATAGACTTCAAAAATTGAGAAAAATGTCGCGTTTTGGTGAGAACTCGATAAAATCAATCGAGGAAAGTATAAATGAAAGTGAACGAACAAATACCGAACCCAACAGACAGTATGGCGAGAGTTTATGGATTTGTGCCAGGCCAAAGAATATTACCTGGACAAAGAGACGTCCATGAGCTATGAGCTTTCTGGCAAATATTTCAACGGAATTTTTTGCACTCGTGCAATTATAGCCGGAAAAATTAGCTGTCTTTCAATTCTAATCTTTTCTATCAGCGTTGATGTTTTCAAAGATGTAACCATGGATAGCGAAGCAAAGTCTGTCAGTTTGGCATAAAATGATTATATGACTGTACTTGTACTTTTATGCTTCTTGAACGTGAAATAGTCTAGCAAAATACCACTCTGATCTGAATATTTGCTCATAATATTGTTGCTTCATCTCGAATATTCAGAACATCGTGGTATTTTGCTAGACTATTTCACGTTCACGAAGCATAAAAAGCATTCATTATGAATGAGTGATTCAGTCTGACAAGTACAGTCATAATTATTTTATGCCAAACTGGCAGACTTTGCTTCGCTTCGTGATATTACTTATGAAAACCATAACTGGCACAAACACTGAAATTCAGTAAAAAGTCACAGCGTTTGAAAATGCTTCTATCATATGAAAATTCATTCGCTTGTCAGTGACAATTTGTATTGAAAAAGGTTTGTAGGAGAGATATATAGGTACATAGAAAAAATATCAGATTTTCACTTATCTTTGATGGACGTTTCGGAAACGAATCTGCTCCCATTTTCAACATAAAAATGGAAAATGTTTGTCTCGCAAATGCCTCAGGTATTCGTCCTGACACTTCTCAGTGACAATTGATGACATTTTGGGGCATTTTGGTTTGTCCCCATTACACGTATATTGAAATAATACTCATATTTTTATTTTATAGGAGCGAGGAAGGAAAATCCCAAAAAATCTGGAATAATGAATATACCACCTCCTAGATTAACCCACAGACAGTATTTATTCATTTTCTATTTCATTTCTTGTTCCAGGATAAAAAAGACCCATCCCAACAACCGGAAAACGTCGTACTTATGGGATGGTGCGTTCCAGCGTCTTGCTCCCCCGCAAATTTGCAGAATAGTCTCAATAAATACTTCGAAGAGATGGATTTCCCACTGAAGAACGAGAATGTCACGTATTCATCAGTGGTCGACGCAAGCAGTTGTCAAAAGGAAGATGAGTACAAGGAATTTGATCAGGCAGATATTTCTTTCGGGTATGTTTCTCATTTCATTTGGGGGGCTCAGTGGAGATGTCGGTACAAGTTACAAATTACACAACTTCAGTGAATTTGTAGTGAAGTTGAATGCATATTGATGAATCTCAAACTCTAGGAATAAGTAATTAGTGAATGTTTTTGTTATAATGAAGTCACTAGTCAGTATCAATTTTTGAGGAATAATATGATGGTATACATACCTACTTATGCTATCTATTTTCCCAATGTGTTTTTATAAGACTCTTCCAACTTGTACTATTTCTTTTATCAACTTTTATCAGGAGACAACTAACCAAATGGATTTGATTATTAAATGGTGATAAATGGAGTATAAGAAATTGATATCAATCAAAAACCTCAAATGCTGATTCAATTGAATGAAATATACCCCTATAATTTTTGTGGATCAGTATGCGTAGGTATAGATAAAGTGCCATAATATCGGATAATTTTGGAACCCTAATATTAATTTTGATATGTCAATATATATCTCTACGAAGTTTTTTGAGCAAAAGAAATAATTGTCACGAGACCTATTTTTTGTCAACAGTGAAAACGGATAAATTTCTCTTCCAAATGAAAAAAAAATGCCTATCAGTAATTTTACTAGAAAAACTGACATGAAAAAATGGCGAGACTGTAGGCGGATGTATGCACACCGCTTTTCCATTATTCTGTAATTTCACAATCATTAACGATTTCCTTAATAAGTTAAATTGAATTTTATCTTTCATTAACTATTCGCTAAGAGATGACCAACTTTTATTTCTTAACGACAAATACAAATGAAACTGTGACTTGCGCAAGCGGATTCTGTCAGAAGTCAGACAAACAATGTCTTCCTCCTCTTTTTCTAAAATGTGGTTGGAAATTCTGAAAATTCTAATCGTATGTTCAAATTAGACTTTGAAAACGATATGAATGAATGATTCTTATTGTAATTATGTGATCACTGAATGTTATAACACAAATATTTTCATCGGGTTTAAGTACGCTGAAGACTACGATTTGATCAAGGAGAAGAGTTTAAAATTAAAAGAAGGTGGTGCATAAAGGTATTATAGTCCTTGAATAAAAATGAACTTGATGGCAGTTAATGAAAGCAACATATTAGTGAAAAAGTGGTGTGCATGAATCCACCTTTACTTGAATGTCTCTGGAAATCACGACGTTTCCGACTAGCACATGTAAAAACTTGAAATTACTAAAGTATTATTCGTTTACTTGGTCCATGCTGAACTGATGACAGGTTTTTTCACCAATCAGATTACATATTTCTTCAAAATAGAACTATCCAATAGTAGGCAACTATCCGACATCAGGGCACTTTACTCTATAAATGGGTATTTGATCTAGGAGAGTAGGGAAGGAGCAAACGTTTTAACTGCTGTTGACTTTTGTATAATTTTAGTCATATTATCAGGTGCTCCGAACATTTTTATACAAAAAAGGTACCCTTGTTTGATATCGCGATAAAAGTAACCGTTTTCCACATCCATTTGAATAGAGAAGCACGAAACAAGTTACTCCACCAAAACTTTGGACATTACCAAACAAAGTACTGAATACTACCCTAACAACACGGGATCTTGCTGGTACATCCCGCTAAGGTCCTACAAATGTCCCAATGTTTCAGACTTAGGTACGATATCCCAAAGATGTTTCTCTTGGGACATCCATCAGATGTTTTCATTGGATGTTCTAGAAACATCCCAATCGATCTTTTTTTATGAACAATACCATGGTTCCATATTTGCTAATGATGATTGACATGATTGAACAGTTCAAACAATTGTGACATTTGAAACATCAAAAAGTTGGTAAAAAATGGAAATCAAAACTGTATTCGTACTCATATACTTATACCTATACCAACGCCCACGCCGGCTATAATATCTCATCGATAACAAATTGAAATAATTATACTAAATATGCCTCAATAAGATTACGAAAATACCTGCTTAACTTCATGAACCATGTAATAAACGACAAAATTGAAATATATCTCTTCAGCATATTTATTGCTGAATTTATTTGTTATACCAGCCGATAGATGGCGGTACAACTACGTTGCTAAGAGTTACTAACAGCCGTCGGTCCATCGTCAACAAATATGAGCCTCAAACAACTGTTATCATCTTCCATTAGTTATTGGACCGCACCGACCTTATATATTCGGACTCGAATAGTTACTTTATATCTGGAAATAGGTCGGCCATTTTCAGGATATCAGATTGAAAATAATGCATACCGTGTCATCCATTACTGTCATCAAACAAAAAACATCCTAAAAGTCTCTTCAAGATGTTCCATATCAAGTACCCTGAATGTCTCTGGTACATCCCGTATCATCCCACAAACATTCTGATGGGATGTTTATAAGACATCGCAAATGCTGACACGGGTGTTGCCAGCAACATCCCAAGAATGTCCCAAGGAAAATAGTGATTTTCCAGAGATGTTCCTATCATCCCATATGGATGTTTCGACGATGTCTTACAGATGTAATTGTGTTATTAGGGGCTGGGTCAGAAATTTGAATAATTCATTCATAACAATGAGCATTTTCAACACGATAGGTATAATAATAGTTATAATCTTTAATAGGTATTTCATATAATAATAATAACGAATGAGTGGCGTTTGTGAATGCCGCTAAAATTCCTCAACCTACCCCTGCATCCCAATAGGGGATCTAGTTATACATATGATAGTGTCATCCTATATACATTTTCCATCCATGAAGGGTTCGCCCTTCGGTTTTGAACCTCTTGAAATGAACACTCCAAAATTCAACGAAATGGGAAGATATGACCATGTTTCAATAAAAATAATTGCCATCACCCTATGTAGCAAAAACGAAGCATTTGATAATAACTTCGAGATAATTCGATTATTGGAGTAATCTGACAATAAAAAAAGGTTTCGACTAGTTTCGAGTATTTTACTGGTCATTCACAATTTTGGTGGGGGCACAAATTTGTGTTTCTCTATGAAATGAATCGATTTTCTAGGAAAAGGGTTGAATCCATCAATATCAGATAGAAATATCTTCTTGGTACAAAAATATTCATAACATCTGATTGCATGAATCAAATTTTTCGAATTTCAGTGCTAGAAAGTTGGGACTTGTAGGAAGTTCGGACAACAACATCAATTATTGTAAAATACATTTTCGATGAATTTTCAACTAACGGCCGAATCATTTACATTCAATTCATTTATTTATTTGTAAGAAACAAACAGATAGTGATACCGAATTACATGTTTCTTTCAGAACTAGCCTATGTGATCATTACAAATGAAAATATACGAATCCCAATCCCAGGTTTTTGAATAACAATTACAATAAAGTTGTATTATTTGTGATTTTCAATACACGTTGAAGAATAAAAAATCATTAAAAAAAAATGATGATAATAATAACAATGATTATAATAAGAATAGCAATAATAATAATAATAAAATAGAGATACCCAGAAGTTACATTTATAATGGCTATCCCAACTAAACGTCTGCAATTGGCATCTCTACCATAACATCAAATACACAACACTGTCCAAGCCAGCAAAGTAGCATATTTTTTTAAGCTCTTTGAGTTAGAAATATTAAAACAAACTAATTTGAATTGAGATAATTGAGCATCACATTTCCGAGTTTGGTAGGAAAACACGATTTCATATTAGTCGTGAATAGAAATACCTGTGGAAATACTGTTGAGAAGTTGATAATTGGAAACCACATTTGGATAATAATATTCTAAGGAGAAACATTTGAACTCTCAGTAGATATTATTTTCACCCAATTCTAAGTTCATAAGTTTTGACCTTGTACTTATGGGATACCCTGTAAATTAATCACACAGTATTGTTTATAGAAGGTGTGGGAATAGTTATTTGTTTAACTAGGCAGCAAGTAGCTGAATTCCTAGCCTCGCTACGCTCGGCTATGAATTCAGCCTCGGCAGTCAATCTACCTTGCTGCCGAGTTGAACACATAATTTTTTCTCCGATTGTTCATAATGATATAGGAGGATATTGTAATTGCAAATTATTACAATTCCCACAATCTCTTTATTTTTCCTGCAGTGTTCAATTAAAATGAAATTTTATAGAAATCGCAGTTGTCCATGATAATTATAGTTTGACAATTCATGAAAATTCTGACAGTTGTGCGAAAAAATATCGGTATATTTAAATTATTATATAATGGACAGTGATAGCGACCTGGAAGTACTTACACCTCCAGAAATAAGGGAGGTGGCAAAAAATATAGAGTTGAATTTGTTGCCGAAGAAGTCTCGAATGAAATATGAAGGAAATTATAAACGATTTATGGATTATTAATTTTGCTGATACATATCGATCAGCAAAGTAACCACTTTGCTGCCTAGGCAGGAAAAGTAATACTTTGCTGCTTGATATGTGTCAGCAAAATTAATATTTGCTGCCAATCGGAGAAAAATATGGTTATCTTTTTCATTTCCATGCCTTCTTGTTACTTAATCAGTTTCATCTATAATATCCTTACTTGCTTATTATTTTGCAGATTAGTTTCTAGTATCATAGTTTCAATAGTCATTTTGTCGACTGTGTATGACTTCTTCAGGGATACTACATCTGAGAAGCTGAAAGAAAGTGAGTTAAATAAAATAAAGAACATATAGGTCATATATCTATATATAATATACTTCTAGGATCACCTACTGTAGAACTCCTTATTGCATTCTCTCTAAGAAAAAACTACAGAAAGTTACCATCTGCGAATGATTCTAATCCAGCTTTGAAAATCCTATATGGAATGAGGGTGATTTGCATTTGTATGATAATCATGGATCACAGGTTTGGTACTCATTTGGCATCAGGCATTTTGAATTTCGACATTGTAGAAGATGTAAGCAATAGAGTATCTTCAAGAACAACTAAACTACTCAACACTAATTTCGTCGCACACCAAAATGTCGCCCCTGTTATAATGTGAATAACTTTTTTCAGTTTAGAACAATTAGAATTTGGTTCACACTGTTCGATAGCCCAGTCCTTCAGCTATAATCTGGTTCTGCATTGAAACATAAGGGTATTCACATAAAATCTCTACATGGTGTTTTCCGACACTGTGCAAAATTTCGAAATATTTAAAAGGCTCTCAAATGGTGAAAACAATTTTTTTCTCAACTTCGACAACAGAGGCATGAAGATGATCTCATTACCTCGAGATATTTCGCGAATCAACTTCCTATCTCTCTTATTTACAGACTGACCTCAAAAAATCAACTTTTTGGTTTTGCAGCCATAACTTTTTTCCACGTCAACCGATTTTGGAAATCTAAGGCTCATTTTGAAGATGAAACTTCAGATGAAGAGATATGAATATCAGAATTGACTCAATATGGCTATCAAAGATGTAGAGTTTTCTTGAAAGTGACCCAAATCTGGAATGCCCTTCGAATCTTGGTTGGGGGGAGAATTGAATGAAAATCAACTTGTTCTCGGAAAAACAATTCATTCTTGATGCGCTCATATCTTCCTTGCTCTCAGTAGTCAAGAATTGTGCCCGAGAAAACACAATTGAAACATGTTCTTGCAAAAACATTGGATCATTTCTCCTCTGTAATGCATGGCCCGCCGTAACCAACGTCACAAGAATCACAATAATGAGTGACTGACAAACCCGACCAGCTGAGGCTCATCATAAATGGTGTACCAACAAGAGCAACGGATTTTGATTTTTTCAATACAGTGATTTTTTTAACAGTTGTCACGTTCATGACATGTGATTTAAGAATATGGAGAAGTATTCAAGCAAACAACGTTTATTTATTGTAAAAACGCATTTCAAAATTGGTGAAAGTTTCACGAAAACAGTTTGCCAATTACGTAAAGTTTTCAGTCGCAATAATGCGCCGAACGAATCGACAGTAACAACCAAACAATTCGTGTCGGAGATAAGCCCTTTGAATGGATCGGACTGTCGTGTTTAGCAGATCCGCGATTTGGAGGGAAGAGAACCCTTGTTCCCTCATTTGTGGAATCAGTTCCAACTGGTCGGGCGTTAGATGCGGCATCGAAACTATCATAATCTGTTTATGATTCGAAAACTACGTCGAACTTGACTTGTCAGTCACTTACTATGATTCTTGTAACTTTGGTTACGGGCCATGCATTACAGAGGAGAAATGGTCTGATGTTTTTGCAAGAACATGTTTCAATTGTGTTTTCTCACGCACATTCTTGAGTACTGTGAGCGAGCAAAATATGGACGCATCCAGAATGAATTGTTTTTCCGAGAACAAGTTGAAATTCATTCAATTCAATTCTCCTCCCAACCAAGAATCAAAGGGCGTTCTAGATTTGGGTCACTTTCAAGAAAACTCTAGATCTTTGATAGCCATCTTGAGTCAATTCTGATATTTATATCTCTTCATTTGAAGTTTTATCTTCAATATGAGCCTAAGATTTCTAAAATCGGTTGACGTGGAAAAAAGTTATGGCTGCAAAATCAAAAAGTTGATTTTTTGAGATCACTCTGTAAATAAGAGAGATAGGAAGTTGATTCGCGAGGATATCTCGAGGTAATGAGATCATCTTCATGCCTCTGTTGTCGGAGTTGAGAAAAAAATGTTTTCACCATTTGAGAGCCTTTTGAATATTCCGAAATTTTGCACAGTGTCGGAAAACACCAGGTAGAGATTTTATGTGAATACCCTTAAGTTTCAATGCAGTACCAGATTATAGCTGAAGGACTGGGCTATCGAACAGTGTGAACCAAATTCTAATTGTTCCAAACTGAAAAAAGTTATTAACATTATAACAGGGGCGACATTTTAGTGTGCGACGAAATTAGTGTTGAGTAGTTTATATTAGCAATAATCAGTTTTTCTTTATATTTTGCACTAAATCATATATTTTTCAGCAATATAGATCACCTGTAGGGACTATATTTTTTCACGGGGATGTCTTCGTCGACTCATTTTTCATTTTGAGTGGTATACTAGTTACTTACACTCTAATGATACAGTACGATAAAAGATTCATGAACCCAGCAGTGATAATTTTCATGAGATATGTAAGGTAAGAAGAGAAAAATGACAAAATGCAAAACTCATCAATGATATCTTGAGGAAAGTAATTTAATTCCAGTATCATTGTTTTCAGATTGACCCCACTGTATGCCATGGTAATATTTTACTATGCTACTATGTTCAGATACACTGGAGCAGGTCCTATGTGGAAAAAAATCATAGTCCCAGAAGTTGAAGATTGTAGAGCGAACTGGTGGACGAATTTATTATACATCAGTAATTATGTGAATGTCGATCACATGGTGAGTAAAAGCTATTTATATAACAAGGGAACAAACGTTTTGATTTCCTCTAAAGTTAAAACTTTGTATTTCATCGAACGACACCTATGCCAATAACTATCTTGAGCAAAATGATTGAAAACTGGCACTTTCCTGTGCGGTAATTTGCACTCAATTTCATCATCATCATCATCTTCATTATTCCCAAGAACTTACGAATAAATGTTTTTCAAGTTATTTCTTGAAATTTTTGGTACTGGTGTTTTTTTTAGGTCTTGTTGGCAATTCAATTTTGCGATTTGATAACCGAGATGCCATCCGATGGCCAGCTGAATGGTAGATCTCAAAACTTTTCTGTGCCACCCCTTCATATGAGTCAAATCCACGGCAAAGCGATTGATTTGCTGCCATATTATTCCGGATATACTTTCGTCATGTGATAACGAGTTGAAACGAAAGCAAATATAAGGGTATAATGTCCCCTTTGCGAAAATCCAGACGTGGTGCGATTCAAACTGATCTAAGTCAGTGGCAGAGCATCAATATTCCCCAGAATATTTCGCCCCTCTCGAAAGATAATACCCGATGGACCAGTGCGTAAAACTTAACATGTGTATTTGAATACTTGTGCGAGCAACACATGAGCTTTACACTGGTCCATCGGATATTATCTTTCGACAGGGGCGAAATACTCTCGGAAATATTGACGCTCTGCTACTAACTCATATCAGTTTGAATCAGTCTATGTCAGATCACGTTGGTATTTTTGCAAAGGGGACATTAGGCCTGTTCCTTTCCTATGGAAGTGTGACACTGAACTACACTTTTTCCAGAATAGCGTTCATTTCCTTCAGTGTGTTGCTTTTCCTACTACAACTTGTCGTTCCTTTGCAACGGTGTGATTACATCACCGGTGTAGGATATCTCCACCGAGGCTATAGACGGTGTGAGATACATTGACAGGTTTTTAATCGTTAGTTTTGATAAAATCAGTGAATCAGAGTGGAATCTAAAGAATTATAAATTATTATTTATAACAATAAACGGTATACCTACAAGCGGATCTGGATGAAACTGAAAATGTAATCCTTCATAAATTGAAATACGGTTAGTATTCATTATTCTTGACAACTGTACAGCCAACTTTCGGAATCACTTCACCATGGATTTTTTTTTGAAGGCCTACAGGAAAAGGAGACTAGAGCAATTTGGAACTCTCCTTGCTAATTTTGAATTATGAGATTCACAGGCGAAGATGGTCATTTTTCAAGTACCTACACTTCGATCATAGGCCCCTCATAGGCTGTAATTTGATGCAAATAGGTATAGGCATGTCCATAAAGTTTTGGAAAATGAATCAAAACTGGTGCTAAGAAAACTGAACAACTTTTTTACAGGAAATGTAGGCACATCCCACATCACATCGGAATTAGATGATAGTCAGAATACCAGAATAGGCACAGTAACATCATCATGGACAGCATATAGGTACCACAAAGCAGTGGCGGCTCCTCAGAGGAGGCAACGGAGGCTGAGCCTCCTCAGAGATTTTCCTTAAACTAATATTATCTATACTTTCTCATTGAAAGGACACCAAAATACATGGATTTTGATTTTATTTCCTGTTTTTACACGCATCACACGTTGATGTCTGCAAATCACGCGTAAAATATTCAACTTGGCAACATCTATAGGAGGCTAGACTCCGTCACATCGCGCAACCTACGCGCGCAATGCAAATGCCCGAATACGTCCGAATAGCACGTGTTTGTCGTGTCGCGTCGCGAATTGCTGACAATCCAGCGCGAGTGTATTGTTTATGTTTATGTTAGGTTAATGGTAAGGGGCTCTATAAATTTCTGAAAAATGAGTGTTTTAAACGATTGCGATTTAATGGAATACTTTTTGGTGAACCCATTCAGTGCCTTTGTCTTATGAAGATAAATTGATTGTGAAAAACAAACTTCCGACACCGGAATTGAAAATTATGATTGTAACAGGTAACGAACAAAATCGTTTGTTCAATTCTGATAATACAAAATATATCTGGTTGATGGGATCTGAGGTAAGGAATAAGCTATTTTGTTGATACTGCGTAATATTTTTAACCGATAAGTCATCGTGTTGGGGGCGATTAGGATATAATGATTTGAAAAATTTGCTTCGCGGATTGGATAGACACTGCAAATCACAGGAACACATCTCTTCAAGTATTAAGTTCAGATTAACTGGTAAACAGAATATCATTAAAGCTATTGATTTGGGTGAGTAGAGAGTTGTTTTTCACATTAAATCTCATATCATTCAGTCTCCTCTGTCATGAAAGTCACAACCCGCCACTGCCACAAAGTTATTGTATTGTTATGCTTCTACCGAGAATATTCACCCAGAGTGGGAAAAATAATGTTAATTGAAAACAAGAAGGCTATGTGGACAGTAATTACTTCAAAGATCTCGCGAAAATGAATCTCTGTATGCTATTTTCGGCTATCTTCACGTTTTGTTTTCACAGCGCTATGACTGTAAACAAATGATAAGGATCAAATGACCTACACGATCTCTATTTTCCTATTCCTCTAAAATCCGAACACTCATCCACACTATCAAATCAGCTGGTTTTCAGTGGTGGTGTAAATTACACTACACTGGAAGCAAAGGAACAAAGCTTGAATAACCTTTTAATTGATTTTTGTTTCAACTCGTTATCACATGACGGAAGTAGGTATGCCAGGAATTATGACAAAAAATAAATCGCTGTCCGAGGATTCGACTCAGATTAAGGGGTGGCAGAGGTAGGGTTGAATCGAATGGCATCATTCACATCATGTTATCGAATTGCGAAATTGTGGGCAAATTACCGCACAGGCAAGTGCCAATTTTCAATCATTTTGCTCAAGATAGTAATTGGCATAGGAGCCGTTCGATGGAATGCAATGTTTTCACTTGCCATTCGAACATATAATATTTCGTTATCAGATGACTGTCGACATTTGCATCGGGTCTCACGGTTTTCACCCATTATCCGCGTTGAATAAACGTCGAACAATGTTCTATCTCCTATTGGCTGGAGTCAATAATCGTCTATTGTCCATGCATTAGTGTAGATTTGAAATATTTTCTGTGTATTTCAGTGTATGGTACATTCATGGTATCTTCCTTGCGACTTCCACTATTTCATCATTGCCATAGTACTATGCATCGTCATCCACAAGAGTAAGAAAATCGGACTTTTCTTTCTCGGCTTCGTCACTTTCTTGACTGTTCTGGCACCATTCCTGGTGGTTTATCTTCTAGAACTATCGGCAGTTATCTACTTCTATCCAGATTTTTTGAGGCTACCCAAACAGCAGGTGGATTTCATCCTGGCCTACTCAAAATCTCATACGAGGGCTTCGCCGTATTTCATCGGAATGATAGCTGGATATCTCTATTATAGGATGAGAGGTTCAGGAAAACGTCTGAAAGTGGTAAGTCATTTTCGGTGTCATCATTTTTTATTTTTTATCAAAGGACGTCAAATTTTTAGAGACATTAAATATTTCGGGATACGATACCTGAATGCTTTCTGCGGGCAGTGCAGTCCTACGATGCTAGGACCCTCATGCATTTTTTACCACTTTTCAGGTGGCATTTTACTTGTACTTGTGAGATCAGAAGAATAAACACAAATAACGTTATGCAGTCTCAGGTGCATTAGAGGTGCATAGGAATTGTTAATTCAACAGGATGGTTCATTCGGTCGTAACCAAGCAAAAGAGTATAGGTACAATATGTAGAAGGAGAATTCTCAATCTCAAATTTCATTTTGCAGTTTGCTATTTTATTGAAATAAATGCAATTAAACTGGGCGTCCATTGAAACGTTAATAGTGAAATTTGGCATCAAGTTTGACTTCTCGTAATTTCTAAAATATTGAACGAATTTTGAATTGCCGCCCAGATTCTGAATGCCTTTTTCATCGTCTTTCGAACCATTCCTTACAGCTTCTTCTAAATTGATCAGGACCCGTGATACAGGGTGAAACAAAGTTTCGTGCATTTTGAAAAGAATTTCTCCGCCCCCCATTTTGTCGGAAGACCACGATACTCATATTTTATTCATTCATTTCATTAATAGCAACCATACCTCGGGACGTTTTCGAGTTTTTGCCAAAAACTACTGTGGTTTCCGAAAAAATTTTTTTTTTTTTTTTTAAATGGACTGATTACCTGTATGCTCAAAACGATGAATCAGTCTATTTATTGTCATGACTGACTCATTGAAAATGGTACTCAAATGAGTTTGGGTATATCCTAATCGTCATAACCTGAAATATTAATTATCTGTACTGAATTATAGTTTATATCACTATAGTGATCTTACCTAATGATATTTTCCATTTCGACCCGATTTGAACGAGGCATCTTTAAATTTTTTAGGACCTGAATTACACTGACGTTTCCATGAAAATTGGCAATTGATATAACCTACATTGTTTCAACAATGTTATAGAAACAAGGTATCGTTGTTTGTTTTTGTTGATGAGATGTGTTGATTTACTGCTCACTAAGGTAGAAAACTTTTATCATAGACTGCGAAGTAATAAATTATTGATTGTTTTTGAGTAACCTGGTATACATATCTGCTCCAACGCTTTCCTGAAATGCATAAAAGCATCAATTTATGGAACTCCTCTAAAATTAGTCCATTTGAAAAAAATACAAAAACTTTTTTTTTTCGGAAATCACAGTAGTTTTTGGCAAAAACTCGAAAATGTCCCGAGGTATGGTTGCTATTTATGAAATGCCCGAATGAAATATGAGCATCGTGGTCTTCCGACAAAATGGGGGGGGGCGGAGAAATTTTTTTCAAAATGCACGAAACTTTGTTTCACCCTGTATCATGGGTCCTGATCAATTTAGAAGAAGCTGTAAGGAATGGTTCGAAAGACGATGAAAAAGGCATTCAGAATCTGGGCGGCAATTCAAAATTCGTTCAATATTTCAGAAATTACGAGAAGTCAAACTTGATGCCAAATTTCACTATTAACGTTTCAATTGACGCCCAGTTTATTTGACGGACTATGAAGATCCTTTAGAAAAATATTGACTTGATTGCTTCACGTATAGGAACCTCCTCAAATTTTATAGAACAACCCATTCTTCTTTGGTTTTGCCTCTACAGATGATCAGGGTAATAATTGCCTGAGGAATAATTTCCAAGAAGACTTAATCTTCAAAAGTTGGAAAAAATTCTACGTGAAGTCCATTTACAGGAAAGTTTCAGGATATGGTGTAATGAATTCATTTAAAGTCTAGTCTTACTCAATTTCAGTATTGCCTAAGAGATAGTAGGGATGGAAATTTTGAAGTTATTCCATCATTCCACTATACCTATTTTCATGTTATTTGTATATTTAACAAATCACGAAGGAAAATCAATAGATTAAAAAAAATCAGTGGAATAACAAAAGACTGTAACTAATGAAATAGGGAACACTAACAGCTGACTGGAACGGGCATTGAGTGATCGTTATGCACATTCAGTGGAAAAAGGGAATTATTTCAATCATAGATTTCATATAATATAATTCCCTTTCAATATCTACTAGACAGCAGCTGTGCTCTCGCTAACTGCTATCTTTTGAAAGGAGGAAGGAAAGCTATCTTTTGTTGAGGTTCAGGACAACCTATAAAAGTCTCTACGGGAATTATCTCAATATAATTCGCACTTGTTCAAATTATTGCAGTTATTAACAGCTAAATAACAAAATAAAATCTCTTGTCGTGAGAGCCACAGTTTTTGAGTCATTATCAGAAAAACAAATGCTTGAACATAAAATCCAAGATGGTGGTTTGAGCGCATGTACCTCGAGGTCGAAAACTTTTGGTTTTATTATTGGGGCTCCAAGCCTAACATACTAACAAATCGCTACTACCCCACCTTTTGCATTCAATATACCAGAGATTATACACTCCCCAATCTCTGGATATACCCACGTACTGGACGATGTAGAGTTCAACAAAATATGAAACTCAAAATGGCTGGATGCCCATTCAACAAATCACGATTCATTTACAGTAAAGCCAAAACTGAAAATTATTAATTTTCAGACCTATTCGCACCTCATCCTTTTCGTCTCTCTCGGTATCATGGTCGGATCAATCGTAACCGGCGTAATTTTCTACGACCCCGCCTACCAGTACAACCCGCTCGAGTCGGCCCTGTACGCCTCCATGCACAGAGTCGTGTGGGCCGTAGGCAGCGTCGGGGTGCTCTACGTCGCCAGTTTCGGCCACGCCAAGTTCATCTACAGGTAAATATATAGGGTGTTTCCGAAATTGGAGGGAGAAAACATAGAAACTAGTATTGAAAAGGAATATTCTCAGATGAATTATGAACTTGAAAAAATAGATATACACAGTGTGTTACAATTTGATCCACCCCACCCCTGTACTTTCGTATTCCTAGGGCGATTTGGAAATATTTATTCCTCATAATATATTACTCAAAATGATCTACTTTGTCGAGCAAAAAAAATTTTTCATTTCATTCGAAGTGTTTTTTATCAACGTTACAATAATTGCACTTCTCAAGTCACCGTGTATAATATTTCTCAGAATTTGAATGATATTAAGCATGATGGTGGTCAGGATTAGATCATCTGGCTACAGACTAACAGAGTGAGCTAAACAACTAATAAAGTCGCTGAAAATTGTGGATTTTGAATAAAAAAATAAAAAAAACTGATATATGATACCAACATAACATGAAAAATTAGACAAAAAACAAAACTGCAATTATTCCTAAGAAGTTCAGATTTTGTATTTCCGATCAAATCTTCATTCTCTATTCACTTCTCATATCTCTTTTCACACGTTATTTTCAACTGTGAGAGACATAAAATTTATCCCCTGTATCTGAATAACACCGAACAAATTCAAAGGGTAATTCAGTGATGGAAATGGAGGTGGGTAAATACCCAGGCAGGTATGAAATTGTTTGATAAACCTCTTCCCGGAAAAGTGACACCCCTCAACAAAGAAAAGTTTTTCTTTTTATCTTCCCTGTATATTAATCTGAAAACACGAAACTTGATAAATATTATTCGTCAATGAAACTACACCCTGAAGTATGCTTAGAAGGGGTTGAACTATTCAACCCCTGAGATATTTTTCTTACAACTATATAGAATCAATCAGAATCGGTTACTTCTGTACCACAGCGATATTTTTTTGTTTACTAAATTTTATCGGACTTGCTCTACCAATACAGAAGCCGAATTGACCCACACGTGACCAACCTTCCTCGTTTTTCAGCGATGAAATTTTGGACGTTTTAAACGTCAATTATGTTGGAAGCCAGAAAGATGGATACAGTGTGCGCAACTCTCGCCAGCCACTCGTTTATTGTCTCAATCATGGAATACTCATACAAATACAACACGTTATACTATTTTCCCTGGAAATAGTCGTCGTTGTTGTTGTCGTTGTTCCAAAACTTCTCGCCCCCGGCTCGAAAGTTTGATAAACAATGTCATTTGACGGAATTATTGGTCAACAAGCTGTCGTAACAATCACCGAGTATTTCGAGCAAAATAGTATCACTTATTGTATTACATTTTAACATTCTTCCCAAAAAAAAAAGTGGCTGAGAAGCCCAATTTATTTACTAACTTTCTTATCTTTTCCTTTTACCAATCCGGTCGATGTGTGCCGTACAAATTGAAAAGCTGCACTTGTAGTTTTTTTCTTTACCTTTCTGATTCTGATGGAAGTTTTCGAAAAATACGATTCAGAAAGTCGAAGTTTTGACTTTAAAATAGAAAATGAGTTCTCCAAGTCCGGCCCTGAATATTATAATTCCATATTAGGCCATCGAGTTATATGTCAGTAGAGGTAGGTTGCTGGTGAATTTCAGGCGATAACATCGAGACTTTCCTGAAATATCGTTCATCAAATTTTCGCCCCGGATTCAAATAAGCCCTGTATTTCTGTTGGGAATAGGCAGAATATATTCTTTACAATATATATCAACTCACCTTGACTTCCTTTATCTGCCATTAGGCTCTGGCTGGTTAGTCATGACTCACCATTTTTCATAATTATTTTTTGAAGCAAAACTTAACGCCCAAGTCGAATTCCGAAATAAATTATGCCGACCTCGCCGACTTTATGACACAATGTACTCAGGCTGTTCTAGAGACCGCTAATTCAGGACTATAGTGATAATGTGGACATTCATAACAATTCAATAAAATCGATTTGGATAAACTCAAGTCTATATAAAGACATTGTTGAGACTTTCATGAAAAGAAAATGTACCTAATATCTATTCTGACTGAAGAATAGTGGATTCTAGGAGAAGACTTTACTAAGTCTAACTTGAAGCAATTAATATCAGAAAGAGTGTGAAATTGAAACATTGATTGATGCATTTCAACATGTTTCCCAAATAATCTACACACGACTTATAAATAAATGGATGAATAATCTCAATAATCATACTCAATTTGTTCACAGGTTTTTATCGTGGAGGCCTTGGGTACCACTCAGCAAATTGGTGTACGGAGCTTATTTGGTTCATATGCAGTTTCAACTTAGAGCAGTCGCAAGGAAGGGTGGTGCAGATGTCAGTACTTATTTCGATGGGGTGAGTATATTCATTTCTAGCAAAATCTGTTAGGTAAGTACCGTCAACTGGGGTGGACCGGATCAAAATCTGAGTTTTTTTCAACACAGCAACCAAAGCACAAGAATGCAACTATTATGAATGATTTTTGCGATTGCCTTCTGGTACACCCTTTTTTACATTTTTTTATAAACTATAGGCGTATTTTCTTCACCATATATGTGAGCCGCTTCAGCCTGTAACAAGTGAATTAATTCGTTTTTCCTCATAACTTTTTGAAAATATAGCCTAATCTAATCGTTTGATGCTTATATCTTCATTAGAGGAAAATGGATGATCAAGTTCAGATTTCCCAAGTGATATCGAGGAAGAAACACAAAACGCAATATTATCTTCGTCCATCCATATTTTCATTACGTAACTGGTGTTGAAATGAACATTTCATCACTAGTTATGTAATATTCGACTTTACGCAACTGGTTACGTGAAGTAATAAGACGTTTCAAAACTTCTGTCAGTTTTGAAAAGTGTCAAATTCCATGTCGAAATCAGAAAAATATATTTTCTTACATCAACCACTTTGATGAACCTACAGATGAACTGCTGCTCTAAACTCAAATCGAGAAAGATACTAAATTCTCGATTTCGGTTCGGTGCATGGATGAATAATTTCAATACAAGGTTTTCCTTTATTTTTCAGATAAGTCAGGCTCTATCAGATATCATCTTGGCTTTTGGCACAGCTCTAATACTATACCTCTTTGTAGAGGCACCATTCAGGAATATCTTCAGTTTGTTGTTGGCGCATCCAAGATCCAATAAACATTCGAAACAAAAGAGCGAAAGTCCCGAGAATGTCAGTGAATCAACCTGTGATAGTCATTTATAGTAGAAACTTAAGTTTAAGTGTTTTAGTCAAATGAGTAATATTTCACAAACATATGTCATTAAGTACCAAATGTAGGTATCGAATATCATGACGTTTTCTTCAACGTAATAATTAATTTGAGGTAACGTTTACATTTCTTGCCAAAAATATGAAGAGATCTAAATTTTGTGGATCCAAAATTGTTTCATCAAAAAAGTATGTACCCTTTCAACACAAATTTTTTATAAGTAGATATTCGTAATGAATAATTTTGTTCTCGAAACTACATACCTACCTTACCTCCAAGAATATATCAGGGTACACACTATAGTTCTCCACTGTACATAGATAAGTATGCTATTATTTTAGGTTTTCTAATGTATTTATTTATAGTTTGTTTTTTATTGTCATATAATTTTGTAAATAAATAAACATGTTATTTTCTTCCCCTTGTAGTTTGGACTGGGAATAAAGCATATGGCTTAATAATTTCGCCCTGCTCAGAGGAATATCATCACACTGGCAATTCAAGAGTTGTTCATTGAAACCCATGAATAACGTAAGAATATATTTATAGCTTCCCTGCTAACTCTCCTAAGAGAATATTTTCAGATATTTATACCAATGATCAAGTGGACGCGGATCTTTATTATGGATTATGGCTTCATCATTCAAATCAGGTCAGAATTTCTAGTTTTTGCGAATATTATGATTTTTCCACTGCTTAGATTCACAGGTGCTTCAAAATTACTTGGGTGGTGGTTATCAGAAAACATTTACTTTCGAATGAATTTGCATTACAAGAAGTAAGTATATGTTGACAGCAATGCAGGTAGTTGGACCAACACCTACATTTTTCCAGGTACTGCACATCATATATTAACGTCAATCGCCATGAGAATAGCAGGAGCTTTAGCTGAATAGCTGCATCACCATTCAAAGAGCGTCTTGTCTGTGCCAGTCAAATATGTATCCATAAAGTTTCATCAACGATTCCAATGGGATGCAAGTGCTTTTTCAGCTGAAAGTGTCCAGTCACGAGTCCGTATACAAGTCTCGATTCGTATTTCCTTTATATTGTACGAGATAATATTTACAGAAGCATCTCTAGAGCATAACCAATTCTTCCAATATATGTAGTGAATACCAGTTATGATTGGTGTAATTTTGCTTGAACTGATTCTTCATTTGTTGTACCATCCATCAGGAACTCTATGCTATTTGGAATTGCAGTAGGTAGACATTTTCGTTTGCCAGTTAGTCTACATCTACCAATATGTCCTGGATGTGTTCATTGTTCAAGACTGACCCCCACATATTCTTCTGAGTATGTGCTTTATGGATCTCCGATGCAAGATTAAATTTGGAGCTTTATATGCTCTTGCGCAGATGGATAGAGCATTTAATGTTGAAGGTGGGAATAATTCTCATTTTGAAATTCGTCCAACCTCCATTTGAACCCTCTCAAGTTTACTTACCACATCGAAACTATAGATTCCTCCTCATATGTATGTATGCAAGGCCAGGCCAGGCCAAAGCTTGCTGGTCTTCAGCGGCTGGCATACATTACAGGGGCAATGTCCTCTACTCCAACGGCAGCGATAGAAAACCTCCTGAACCTCACTTCCCTCCACATTGTCTTGGAGAAGGAAGCCAGGATGGTTTCCTGATTCCTATCACTGGAAAATCAAATAACAGGGGGGCGACTGCTAGACCACTCCGGGATACTGTGTGAAATAAAAAATCACCAATTCCAGTCCAATTCCCAGAGACCGAACACGTAATGTACACAGATGGTTAGAAAACCCCTCTTGGAGTTGGAGCCAGTGTGTTCAGCAGAAAACCGAAGACGGAAATCTATGTCGATCTCGGTAAGTATGATACAATCTTTCAGTAGGAGGTCGTAGCAATTGAATTGCGTGTGCTAGAGAGTTGACGAATAGACCTCTAGTAAACAGAAACATCAGTATTGTATCATACAGTCAGGCTGCTCTCAAAGCACTGAGCTCCAGCAAGATACATTCCAAGCTTGTATGGAGCTGTATTGAATCCCTAGAATACCTGGGTGCAAATATAACAGTTACTTTGCTGTGGGAGCCTGGACACCAAAGGGTGGAGGGCAACGAGAAAGCCGACATCCTCGCCAAACCGAATCTGTGTTCATAGGACCAGAAACCATACTTTGGGATCACTGGAAGTGCGGCCAAAACAACTATATCGGACTAGGCCGAGAGGAGAAGACTCACGTACTGGCTTGAATTACCAGGATTGCCCATTCGAAGGCGTTTCTTCCTAGACCATCGAATAATGTAACCAGACAGATCCTAAAAAATGGAGCAGGGGTAACCTGTGAATTCTGACAGGACTGCTTACAAAACACTGTGGTCTAATATACCAGCTAGTGTTATGCCCCGCGAAATACTATCTAAGGAAAATATTGAAATATCGAAAATGGAATTCATACCCGTTAAGTAAACATCGTTTGTCGGCAAATTTAGGATACTTAATATTTATTTTAATGACTCTAGATCAACCTTGAAATTGGTATCTCCAAGAATGCGCTAATTGAGACCGACAAACGAATATAATGTGATTTATATTGTTATTGCCATATGAATCTATGAAATCACTTCAATGAGTGAACTGGAACCAAAAAACAAGAATGACGTAAATTGCTTTGTTGTTTTCGCCTATAAAAACACTTCATTGTAAAAAATTGGGATTCAATTGATCATTAACTCTCGAGACGTCAACTAGTAAAGATGTAGCTCCAATAGAATCAGAATAGATCGCGAAGTGCATAGAAGTACCTATCTATAGTGGTTATTAGAATCAGTGCAAGTGAGAAAGAGATCATGGCAATTCTTTCAACTCCCAAGCAAGTTGGTATGTCTTTGTGGTTACATTTAACAGACTATAGAACTGAAAGTGCTTTTGACATTCAACATAACTTTCTAACGATAATATAATGGACTGTTTGAAGAAACTATAGTCAGTCAACCTATTAGTGTCAAGGGTTAGGATTTTGTTTAATGAATTAGACGTATAAGGGTTTTGCAAACTAACTTGATGAGAGGTATCGAAATAAGGGATGATTAGAGAAGTTTTAGCTATTAGTATATGGGCTTAGAGTAGAAGTAGGGTTGAGTTTTGATATAGATAGTTTAACTGAGTGTATTCTTTCAAGAGGTTTATAAAGGGAAGCTTATTTGTTGTTTTGGAGAATATTAAAGTTGAGTTGAGAGTTTTCAATGTATATAGGAAAACCTATGGTAAATCAATACTGGTTCATGATTATTGATTGTATATTGAATATTCTTGATTTTTATGAATATATAGAGTGATTATTTGAGTTTTTAGATATTTTCTTAACATTGAGATATGTGAATAGACTCCAGGAGTTTGAGTCTTTTGAATATGTGAATTTGTTAGGACTCCAATCGTGAATGTGGTTTATTTCTTTGATTATAGTTTATCAACTCAATATTTGTTTTTCTCGTGCATTCTGCCACCATCATAGTCCGAACCCACACAATTTAATATCTGCTGTATATTCCACACCCTGTATAAACATACCAGCCGCTCGGTATATAATCTGACAACATCTCCCTTATACAGGGGTGGATCAACACACTAGGAAGGATGGAGCTGAATCAACAAGCGGACTGTTGGTTCTGCTGTGTGGAAGGCGAAACGGCTGAACACATTATGTTCATGTCCTTGCTTAGAGAGACTGAGGTTCGACATATTTGGCTTTACCAATTTAGAACCTATGGAATTCAGACAAATCGCAAAAAGATGAGGATTGTACAGTGAACTGTAAGCTCTAGGTGTGAGCCACAATAGATACCCATCTGGGGTCGCTGTGAAGGGGCGGTATTTGTCCCACCCACATGGAACCTACCTACCTATACCATACAGGCTGATTCATGGTGGATGGCACATTAGACGTTTCTGGTGAAGCAGACAACGGATCATTTTGAAAATTCAATGGAGGGCATATTCGGACATTTCCTAGCCAACTAAAATATTTTCGACAATGCGGTGTTGCCGCTTCTATTAGAAAGCAGTAGCAACTTTGATTTTTCAAATAGAACACTCTGTATTTTATTGCATTTTTAGATTTTCCCTGAAGAGCTGATTTCATCGATGTATCACACTTGGGGTCTAGCGGAAATGATTACAGAGATATAGGGTGTGAAAAATCGACATTTTTCAACTTTAGGATTTTTTTGTGTCGAAACTATTCATCATTGGTCAAAACGGCTCACATGTCCCTATCTCAACTTTTGATTAACTATCTACTGATATTTAATTGGGACATATACCGGGTGATCAAGGTTCTGAATTCTGCACCACCCTGTATTTGTTTCAATTAAATGTTAGTAGATAGTTGATCAAAAGTTGAGATAGGGACATGTGAGCCGTTTTGACCAATAATGAATAGTTTCGACAAAAAAAATTCCTAAAGTTGAAAAATGTCGATTTTTCACACCCTATATCTCTGTAATCATTTCCGCTAGACCCCAAGTGTGATACATCGATGAAATCTGCTCTCCAGGGAGAATCTAACAATGCAATAAAATACAGTGTGTTCTATTTGAAAAATCAAAGTTGCTACTGCTTTCTAATAGAAACGGCAACACCGCATTGTCGAAAATATTTTAGTTGGCTAGAGAATGTCCGAATATGCCCTCCATTGAATTTTCAAAATGATCTGTTGTCTGGTTCACCAGAAACGTCTAATGTGCCATCCACCGTGAATCAGCCTGTATATGTATGATATTCCTTGTGAACAAAACACCAATAAATTAATATGATTTATATTTCAGTTTATCAATATAATATATCTAGCAATAATTCTCGTATATATTTTGTTTCACTATACAAAAAAATAAAACTTAATTAATTGATTTGTTATACATCAACAATATATTGAATAGATTATTCAAATTTGGGATGACTCTTGAAAATATTCGATAATTCGTCAATCAAGGATTCATATCTGTAGGCGACCCTGATGTCAGGAACATTAGTTCTGGCGATATCGTTCCCAGCAACTCCCTCTCTCGTATAATTCGGTCCCAACCAATACTGTTTGGACTTGTGAGGAAAACCAGACATGATGACACTATTCCTAGCCAGCTCACACATGTCGCAGCTGGACAGCTTCCATACCTGCGCAGCAATGCTGTACTCTTCCATCAGAGGTTCTTTGGTGAAGTGGAATTGCAGAGGATCATCCGTGGACAAAGACACGACCAACCCTCTAGCCAAATACTCCGGAAGAGGATTTCTATGGTAATTCAAGAACAAGCTGTTGTTGGACAAAGGACTCATAGCGATGCCGATCTGTGCTAAGTAATAAAGGTACTGTAAGACCGGTACTTTTCTCAACAAAAGACCGTGCGAAATGTTCTCAGACAACATATATCCGCATACCAGATGCTGTACAGGCCCAGCTTCCCCACAATGAGGTCTAAGTGTAAACGTGTGGAGGCCTTTTTCGTTTCTGAAATGATTCAGTACTGCCAAATTGGCGTACATGTAGTACAAGTAGTAAGCATAGTTCGGGTTCTCGTCGTCCTTCCATTTCTCAGGGGACGGAGTGTCTTTGTCGAAGAGAGGGTTCTTTTCGGGTTTACTTTCATCGTCTACCGAGTCAAATCCGATCACGTATTGGAGGAAGATGTGTAGCTCTGGATGGGAGGTCGGTTTGGCTGTTACTTCGAATAGGGGAAGGAATATGTTATCGAGAACCTCTTGGAAATGGTCCAGGACTTTGTTGAGCTTGAATATATCACTGAAAAATACAATGTAAGAAAACGATCAGAATATATTGAGGTTAGTTAAGTGTATCAGATGAGCAGTATTGCTATTTCTCAAATAATATAAAGAGAAAGAAAGATGATTGAATAGGAAATGGAAATGTATTTACTATTCATCTCATTTCCATCACGTATTTGAACGTATTTTGAACGATTGCTGATGTTCCAACAAATGTGAACAAATACGCCTTGACGAACTTGAGAAACGATACTGGCCATTTCAAACAAATTCTGGTGTCTTATAAAGAATCAATATAAATTTCAAATGAGATATCACTCGACCCCCCCAATTCCATTTGAAAAAAATCAGCTAAAATGACGTCCACGCGCCAATTTTAAAGATATATGTTTTGTTTATCGAAATCAAAATGTAGTACTTGAACTAACAATGACGCAGAATCATAAAATAAAAAAAAATCCAGCCGTTCAAAAATCAACTAGGAGCGGGTTACTTCTTATGGAAACCGTATATTCAGGAATACACGTATATATTGTGAAATGTCTGATTGAAATTAAGTTAGGTAGGAACTGAAATGTTTTGACTTTGATATATCTGGCAGGTGCCCAAAAAAATTAATTCTAGAATATACCATTCGAAATGTACCCGAAACAATGACCAGAATTATTGTATTGTTCGATAATAATTCGAAGAACATTCACCCTGAAATATTTTGAAACATTGCCATGAAAATATTCCTGATATGTTGTGACAAAAAAATCAAAGTATGTCCGTGTAATTCAATATGGATTCGAATCTAGATTTGAATCCATATTGAATTACAGGACCGATAATACTTTAGATTATTGACCTGAGCTAGTAATTTTGTTCTCAATATGTATTGCTAAGGTTAGTATAACTATAATTTTGATTCTTGTTTGACTCCTTAACAGTTTCCATAATCTCTTCTGGGTACGACTTGAATATATCAATTCTGTGTCTCATGATGTCCTGCAGCCGAAACTAGTTACACTTCTTATTTGTGGTTGACCGACTTCACGCCTTTTATTGTTTTTCCCAAAAATCAATTGAACCACTTTGAGAAATGTGGATGGTTTCTACAAACCAGATTAACATTTCATTATTGAAGGAGTACATTAGCACAATTTTCCAAAAATTCAAAAAATTCTCTCACGTTTAACCATGTTGAATTACAGGACCGATAATACTTCATATTGCTAAGGTTAGTATAACTATAATTTTGATTTTTGTTTGACTCCTCAACAGTTTCCATAATCTCTTCTGGGTACGACTTGAATATATCAATTTTGTGTCTCATGATGTCCTGAAGCCGAAACTAGTTACACTTCTTATTTGTGGTTGACCGACTTCACGCCTTTTATTGTTTTTCCCAAAAATCAATTGAACCACTTTGAGAAATGTGGATGGTTTCTACTATTTGAAATAATATTTTTGAAACGTTCCATTGAAACATCTCCGAGAACGGACATCTCCAGTATGGCATCACAGAGTGTGTTACCGGAATATTTCACAAATGTTTACTGGTATTTTCTATCACATTTAAAAATATTTCTTTCAGATTTGATTCATGATGTACTTACAAAAGCCTTGGCACTTGAATAAGCCAGCGAACATTATCGGAATACACATTGGAATCCAGCGCCCATTTGGCAAGCTTATCCCATTCATCTCTCGATTTACCATAAATACTCAATCTCAACTCGACATTCTGATATTTGGACTCCTCCAAATCGCTGGCAACTTCTTTGATGATGTTCGCGAAATATTTCCCATTCAAGTAGTTGTCGGTCTTCAAGAATACCTCCCTCAGTCTGCTTTCTCCTACAGGGTTGTACTTTGCGTTGAACTTGTCGAATCGATGGAAGGTGTTTCTGTCTGCGTGAACATCCAACATGTCGACAGTCAAGTCGTAAGTTGTGAGATTCATCGACTGAAAAGACTTATTTGCTGAACATAATTTGTCAAAATTGAAGACAAAATCTCAAGATACGGTGTAAGAGGACTACCCCTATCTTTACTAAACTCATACTTAAATGAGAAGAGACCAGTAGTCAAAGTTGGAAAAAGTCTAAGTACTGGAAGAAATATTGAGGATGGAGTACCACAGGGATCCATTCTGGGACCCTTCTTGTATTTAGCTTTTGACAATGATTTGTTAGGGTACCTAAATAAGAACTCGGCCATTCACCGTACATATTATGCTGATGATACCAATATATTAATTAATGAAAACGATATGGAATCCGCTCTGTTGCTGTACCTCTTTAGACCTACGTAAAAGTTATTATGTGGTCGAAAAAAACCAATTTAATGCTGGATGAAGCTAGAACTAACATCTACTACGTCTACTCTGCAAACTTCAATTCGCATCTTGAATATGGCATTCTGAACTGGGGCACATCCTCTACCGTATCTCGGGTGTTTTGTAAACAAAAATATGCTATTAGGATCATTGCCAAAATGGGCTATAAAGGTTCATGTAGACGAAGTTTTCTAAATTTGAAAATTTTAACGCTAGCAGAAGTATACATAATGGAAGCTTGCACATATATCTACCGGAATAGAAATACATTAGCTGCTAACAGAGCCTATCATAATCATTCTACCCGAAATGCCCACTTGTTATTACCAAGTCGACATCGCACTGCTCTTCACCAAAGAAGTTTTGAGTTTCAGGGCTGTAAACTTTTCAATAAACTACCCGATAACATGAGACATTCTGGAAATGTATGTACATATCTTTAAATCGAGACTGAAGCGACTTCTTCTGTCAAAGAACTGCTACAGTATAGATAAATTCTATCTGTAATCCTGTACCATATGTTTATATAGGAAGGAATTACTTAGGTATATCTTTGAAGTATACATTTGTTTATGCTTCTATACATATATTTTTTTACACATTTTTGTTTTTACAACTTTGTGACATTATCTCATTGTAGAGGAGTTCCTCTCGTGATTTGCCATTTGTACTTTCATTTATACATATTTGTTAATTTTATTTATGACGTGTATGTGTTGTTTCAAGTGTCATTTATTTATATTTGTCATTGTATCTATATACATATCTTTCATTCTGTATGTAATGTGAATAACCATTTTTCGTACTTCTTGTCTCTCTGACTGTGAATGTTGTAGCATTATCCAGATTTCAATACGAGATCGGTGAAAATTGCCTTCACCATGGGTTATACTCCAACTCAACTAGACATAACGAATCAAATTCGAAATTATCCGAATATTAAAAACAGATATTCCATTCAAACATATAAAATACCTGGAATACTTCTCGCAAAGTCATCGGTACTCCCTTTGTGACAGTCACCACCTCATCGGCGTTCTTTTTCAAAGTCTTCTTGATGAATCTAAGCAGATGCTTCTGATTCATGCAAGATGCTGCGTGAATGTGGGTATCGACTTTTCTGATATTGTAAAAGTCTCTATGTGGTACAGCTTTTTGGGATGCCAACTCTCTGAGTTCGTTCAGGAGAACGTGTAGTTGGAATTTCGATGACAGGTAGCTGAGGCGACGGTAACAAAAGGATTTTCTGAAAACAGTATGATATTCAGGATTAATAACACTCCCTGGTGATATAGTTTTATTTCTAAACTTTGTCGATGACACTGGATATACTTACAATGGACCATCCGCAATCATGTTACACATATTATAAAAGTCTGTTGTGAACATTACTACGTCTGGATATTCGTACGGGCACGGTTTTCCACTTTTGAGATCATTATCATTGAGGTACACGTTGAAAACTCCATCAACGTTCTGGAAAACATGGTTCGTGTCTGGACATTCTGGTGCTTCCCACGGTTCATGGGAAGGGGGATGAATACCATGTTCTGAAAAAAACGGGAATGAATTGACGGATGAGAAGTGATGAAGCCTACTAAGTTAACTCAAGCATCGATGAAGAAGGTTGCGGTAACGCCCTGGAAATAAAAGCAAAACAGTGTTTCGGTTAATCGGCAAAACTATTAGGCAATATATAGTAGCCGAAAATGAACCAAAAATCTAAGCATGTAGATAGGCTGCAATAGGAGCAGCAGCAGCTCGCTTTCTCAGTATTAGACAGGAAAAGTTATAGCAATAGCAACCTATATCATCTTTTACAGATCTATATGAGAGGAGCCTGCAGAATATAGAACCACATAGAACTCAAGTTAGAGCCAGAACATTTCATTTGTCTCTCATACAGATTTCTGGAAACATGTCTAGCAATACCTTGAGTCAATCAACTGCAATGACTAGACGAAGAAAATGGAAATATACTTGGAGTAATTGAAAAATTTCAAACACTATAGATGGCAACCATCAAGAGACTATTCTCACCGGACTCCTAACTGATGGCCATACCTTCCTATTAGATGACATTTCAATCAATTGAGAATGTTTAATAGAAACTTCGTAAGTAGACAATGTGAGGCTCTATACTACAGAACCCACCCAAAAATTCATCTAGAGAACTACCTACTTATGTGAACAAGCAATAAATAGCCTACTTGGGATTGTGTGAAAATTACTGGATTGAGTAGAGGAAAAGAAAATGAGTAGGTAATCACTGTAAGCTCACGAAACTGCAGTCACACGTATGTTGCGGTAGGTAGCGTAGCAGTACGAAAAAATGAAAATATGCTTCGCTGAGCCTGAAATGCCCTGAAGATGGAGACAAATAGACTTCAAATAATAAAATCGACCTCCTGCGAATGCGGAAGTTAGAATATAAGCTCGCAGAGGCTAAAGCTTCAGATTTTGTGATATCCACTTCAATTGAAGCATGTTTTGTAGACGTATATCCATAATATGATGACATCAAGAATAGTTTATTTGGAATTGATTCGAAAAACTATTTGCCGAGAAAACCAGTGGTTCAAACCCAATACTAACAAGAAGATGGTCTCCTTGAAAAAGTTACATGCTTGTGGGCTGGCAGTTTTTATATGAATTCCAAACGATAGTTAGGTATACAATCACGAAATATCTTCATCAAGGCAAGTAATTAGGTGCATTACACAACAACAAGCTTTAGAAATAGAAGGTTAATCTATTCAAAAATCGAATTCACATTCTTCAGACTTCTTCGTTGGTATATTATCGGTACTTTCAAACATTCATTCTCACAATCTGAGTCAACTTATATGTAGGCACCTTGTAGACATAGACGTTAGTGAGTTATAGAGAAAGTTAGAGAAGTACATAAAAACTATCACAATCATCTATTATTGTTGGTAAGGCAGGCGTGATGCATACACACCAACTCCAAAACAAGTAACGCAATGGAATGATGATTTTTTTTAGAACATTCTTTATTCTATATCAAGATGTTTCTAAACATAAACATGGTGGTACGAGTACAACTAATGAAGAAAACTGTTGGTGATTATTGTTAATGACACCACCACATAACATAAGTAAACCTGTCCAGTAAGGTGGTAATGTTTTTACTGGCATGAATATCCCATACGAGCAAATGCTTTTCGTTCTTTACCTGGGCTAAACTCGCTTGACAACACTGTCTCGATGTTATCTTTAGTAAGCAATCCCAAAATTCTATCATCAAATGAAGTTCTCGCAGTTCTCAACAGCAACTCTGCATAATCTTGATCTGGGTAATAATAACATGAGGAGTTAAGTTGAATATTCGTCAGAACATTTTCAGGGCCCTTGATATATCAACGTCGTTTCCAAATTAAGTAAGAATTCTATATATATCGAGTACTGGAACCTTTGGCACGATAATACACTAAACACTGTTTTACCACTAACCAAACCGATATTTTACATCTCGACAAGTGTTTGGCTAACTTTGTTAGCATCTTCAGGAGAAGATTAAAACTAAATGCTCTATCCTAGTGGGCTAATTATATACTATAAGAATATCTCCACGCCCAACCGTGAATAGACAAAAACCGCCAAGTTAATGTTATTCATGGTTGAGTTCACAAGTTATATAACTAATTAAAAATACATAGGGCAAAATGGGATAGGTCCATTATCCATATTCATTACTCTATTACTATTCTTGAATATCTCTACGCTTGTATATACATCTAGTTTTCTAACATCATTAACTTGCTTAACTAATTCGAGGTTATTAGTATGTGTGTTATGATTATAATTGAACATGTGTTCAGCTACACACGATTTATCTAACCTACCATATTTCAAATGTGCTAAGTGTTCTTTGAACCTTGTTTTTATGGGATGCCTGATGGTTTGGCCCATATGTTTTATCACAATCATTACAACTAAGCGTTTATCAGTCTGGGTCAAAGTTAGGCAATTTATTAGGTGATCCAAAAGATTAGGTAGACACACTTGAAAACTCAGGAATGTATGAAATTTGTTGTTATGATTGTGATAAAACATATATTGGCCAAACCAGGCGTCTCATGAAAACAAGGTTCAAAGAACACTCAGCACATTTGAAATATGTAATGTAATGTAATTGTTGTAATGATTGTGATAAAACATATATAGGCCAAACCATCAGGCGTCTCATGAAAACAAGGTTCAAAGAACACTTAGCACATTTGAAATATGTAATGTAATGTAATTGTTGTGATGATTGTGATAAAACATAGATAGGCCAAACCAGGCGTCTCATGAAAACAAGGTTCAAAGAACACTTAGCACATTTGAAATATGGTAGGTTAGATAAATCGTGTGTAGCTGAACACATGTTCAATTACAATCATAACACACATATTAATAACGTCAAATTAGTTAAGCAAGTTAATAATGTTAGAAAATTAGATGAATATGAAAGCTTAGAGATATTTAAGAATAGTAATAGAGTTTTGAATAAGCATAATGGACCTATTCCATTTAGCCCTCTGTATAGTTTAGTAATATAACATGTGAACTCATCCGGTTATTGTCTATTCACGGCTGGGTGGACATATTCTTAGTATAGCCCACTAGGATAGAGCATTTTTAGTTCGAATCTTCTCCTGAAGATGCTAACATAGTTAGCGAAACACGTGTCGAGGTGTAAAAAATCGGTTTGGTTAGTAGTGAAGAATCCTATATTTCAGCACCTTGTACCAAGAGAGCTTTGCTTTTTCATAACTATATAGGCAATCAGCCAATTGAAGAAAAGACATTCATCTCTTATTCATTCAACTCTCTCAATATTCTGAAGAATTTTTTTAAAGTCCAATCAAGGTCGACAGTTTTAGATCAAATGATAACCAAAAAAAGTCATCAATAATTATAACAAAATATCAGCCATCATAGATTCATATGAAGAAACAATTGATGAAAGATATGTTTCAGTAAACGAATAATTATAGAGTGTTTGACGGAGGGCAGAAATTTTTACTTCAGGATAATAGCCGAATAGGTTTGGAGTCGTTGGAGTACCTAAAATTCCTCTACTTCTCTACTAAGTGCATCTACGCACATTGAACTCTGCCATTTTGTACAAACAACTTGCATTTATACAGGGTGTTTCATTGGGAAAGGTAAATAATTTAACTGTGGATAGGGGTCACTGGGGTGATTTGAAAAAACCCATGGTTAATGGGTCTTCGACTTCTTATAACCGAGATACAAGATGTTTCATCAATTTTGTCCATATCTTCAATGTCTCATAACATTCCAACCAACCTGTATATATTTTCAAAAATTGGTACACTTGCTCAATTTACCCTGTGGAATTGATTGAGGCAACAACAAAAGATAAAATCCAGGTCCGGCTTCACTTAAAATTCACAAATTCTTTCTGCCAGAAAACAACACCCTATACATTCGAATTTCTCATTTTTTTCGCCATATCTGAAAAAAAAAAAGAAATTTCTATTCAACGATGTGCTTTTTATTCGTGCACAGACGATTTTAACTATTCATATTATGTGCTCAAAATATTATTTTTGCTCATTTTGGGGAACAAAATTGGAATCAGTCGAGATTTATTAATTTTATTACTTCCTATTCAGTATACGTGAGTATTACATTAAGAAGGAGTATTTCATATCGTTCTTTGTTCCTGAGTTAGGTGCAGGTCCGTCATCAAAACTATACAGGGCTTTTCACGATGAGCGTTAATTTGACGTTTTCGGCAAACTAGGCAACGGATAAATCGAAAATTTCGATGGTATGTATAAATTAACATAATCTTCACTACTGAAATATTTGAAACGATCCGGCCTTGCCGCTTCTACTAGAAAGTAGCAGCAACTTCGATTTTTCAAATGGGACACCCTGTATTTCATTACATTCTTGGATTCTTGCTGAACAGCAGAATTCATCGATTCAAAACATTCAAGGTCTAGCGGGACCGATAACTGAGATATAGGATGTGGAAAATCGAGATATTTCAACTTTAGAAATGTTTTGTGTTGAAACTATTTATTATTGCATGGTCAAAACGGCTCCAATGTCCCTATCTCAACTTTCCATTCGATATCTAATTGAAACAGATACAGGGTGGTGCAGAAATCTTAATTATAAACCATCCTGTATTTGTTTCGATTGAATGTCAATAGACACAAAGTTGAGATAGGGACATAAAATCCGTTTTGATCAATAATGAATATTTTCGCAAAATAATTCTAAAGTTGAAACATCTAGATTTTCCTCACTCTGAATATCTGAGTTATTAGTCCCACTGGACCCCGAACTTTGTGAATCGATTAAATCAGCTCCTCAGGAAGCATCCAGGGTGTCCCATTTGAAAAGTCAAAGTTACTGCTACTTTCGAGAAGAAGCGGCAACGCCGGATTGTTTCAAATATTTCAGACGTGTAGATCATGTTAATTTATACATACCTTCGAATTTTTAGATTCATCCGTTGCCTGGTTTGCCAGAAACATCTAATTACCGCTTATCGTGAAAAGCCCTGTATAATTTTGATGACAGACCTGAAACTAAGTCTGGAACAAAGAACGATATGAAATACTCCTTCTAAATGTAATTCTCACGTATACTGAATAGGAAGTGATAAAATTAATGAATCTCGTCTGATTCCAATTTTGTACCCCAAAATGAGCAAAAATAATATTTTGAGCACATAATATGAATAGTTAAAATCGTCTGTGCACGAATAAAAAGCACATCGTTGAATAGAAATTTTGATGTTCTTTCCAGATATGGCAAAAAAAAATGAGAAATTCGAATGTATAGGGTGTTGTTTTCTGACAGAAAGATTTTGTGAATTTTAAGTGAAGCCGGACCTGGATTTTATCTTTTGTCGTTGCCTCAATCAATTCCACAGGGTAGATTGAGCGAGTGTATCAATTTTTGAAAATATATACAGGTTGGTTGGAAAGTTATGAGACATTGAAGATATGGACAAAATTGATGAAACATCCTGTATCTCGGTTATAAGAAGTCGAAGACCCATCAACCATGGGTTTTTTGAAATCACCCCAGTGACCTCTATCCACAGTAGAATTATTTACCTTTCCCAATGAAACACCCTGTATATGTAAATATTGTTAGAATGTTGAGTGCACTTCTGAAAAAATGATTGTCATTCTAAAATAAAGTGTTTGGCCGTGACCGACAGAAATGAACTGTTTACTTTGGCAAGTAGCTAATGAAAGCAAGTAGTATTTATTTTTAGATACAGATATTTTTATATTCAGCGCAAATAATTTAGTACTGGCGGAAGCTAAATGCGACCAAGGTGACTCGATTCCTGTTATCCTGGTCTGGGTTAATTGAAAATAAATATAAGGTGGCCAGAATAGGGTGACCAGATTTTGAAAATGAAAAAAGAGTATATATTTCAGTGTTGTGTTATGATGAACGGAAGAGGGATTTTCTTTTCGTTATTCAAGGTCAAAGGTCAAATGCGTTCAAATTGAAGAAAATATTTCCTCATACCATTGAAACAAGATCCAAGTTTTACCAATATCATCAATCAAAAAATTTAAGAAGTGTTTCAATGTCGTGGTCTCAATAATCAACAATAAAAGTTTTCTTGAAAATGGTACACCGATAAACATAAACATTACCCTGATATTTTGGAGTAGACTGATGATTCGAGCTTAAAACATGAATAAAAAAGACCACGCTAGGTATAGTAGGTATACTCTTTTTGTAGTACAAATTTTTCATTCGTGAGGTCAATGTCCTTTTTTTTTTTAATTCGGACCCGTTTTTATTACTTTAATTATTAATTTATTATATAAAATAGGAAATTAATTCAATTTAAAGACCATGAATAATGAAAAAAATCGCCTGCGGAGCTCTTTTCGTTTGTTAGGATATTCTTAATGTTAAATGCGTGCTATGTTTAATTATCAAAATCTGGTCTCCCTGCTAATAAGTCATCACATGGAGTGAATATCTTAACAATTACATCACTGGATAACAGTGAATATGGTAATAACATAATTAAGATTTGCATTACCGATACTTTTATGGTTGCATTCAAATAGGATTGCAAGTACTATGACGTCAAAAGTAGCCCTTTTAGGATTGATTTATTCACATTCATCAATTTCCGCCTACTGTCGCCTTACCGTGATGTTCATATAATGATGGATTATTTTTACCTACTTAGTATCCACATGAGTCTTATCGCTTTTCTCATATTGACGATTTGATTTATCCATCTCACATACAGGGCCGCGTCTTTTACAGTTACCATCTTAGAGACAAAAATTTAAAGCTACAGATTTGAAAATTTCACAGAAAGAGAATACCCTAAACAGTATACCTACTTATATCGGCAGTTGCCCTACACTCCACAGATAATAATTGCTTCTAGTTCTCTAGGTGAAGTCATTAATTATATTCTAAGACCCAGCGAACACAAGAAAACGGGATTACAAGGCGAAGATACAATGAGATAAGCAGCGTTGCCGTCTCATTCGATTCATTTAGCTAGTTGAAATATTATAATATTCATCGGCTCTTCGCTCTCAAAATATAACTGATATCAATGCTACGGGTAACCTTTACTTGTTTTCTTATAAATTGGATTGTGCCATATTATGATATAGATATGAGAGTGATATCGTAAGAATATAGGTTCATTGAAATGACAGATAGGTATACCTATAGACCAAGTAGCTGATTGATATGTTTCTGAAGAAGTTATCACCACTCCTCCAACTATTCTCACACGTAACAGGGCACAGACCACATTTTTATGTTCTATACAACATCGAATCGAAGAAAATATCCCTCAACCCTTTTAGCAAATGATCTGGAAGAAAACGATTAGTTGTAGGTAAAGACGAAAGAGTTCTATTATTGTTCTTTGAAGTTATCATTACGAACTTCAATTCAATTCGATTTTTCAAAATTGTGTGGCACATTATTATTTCATGATATCATTTTAATGTTCTTAACCAATAACTAGAAAGAAAAGTCAATGGATATGATGAAAATGTACAATTTCATCCTTTGGTTCCTAGGGGATAAACATATAAACCAGATATTGTATTGAACATTAATGTACCTTTATATAATTGCACAAAACAATGTAATCATGTGCACTGGAGAAATGTTGGCAGATTTTACAAATAATGTAGCTTAGAACCTTACCTTCTATGGACTGTTTTTCATCGTGGTGCTGTTGTTCTTTCCCTGGGTCCAAGAATCTACCTGCTATGGAAGGGAAACTTTGGAAGGACATCTTCATGTATCGTTTTCTGATTTCTAATGCCTGAATTATCAGTTTCGACGCTTTCTCAAGATCTTCGAGAGGGACCTAAAAATGTTTGGATTTTTTGACATTGTTAAATCCTCATTCCTCAAGTGAAGTATCTACACAAATTATGAAACCCCAATTAGATAATGCAGGATCTCTCGAATGCCGGAAGGATCCTCTGAAGAGAGTATGTAACATGTTCCGGTTCACCTGAGGTTTTACCATTCATAATCTAATATTTAAAATAACTCACCCCACTGGTGTCTTCTCCAGATATGGATACCCTCTGGAAATGGGGTACATATAAGTCATGATGATCTAAATCATCAACCTCTGGGGCTCCTGCTACTGATGTTTCATAGTAACTACGTTTATCTTCGAAAGCCCTAAAAATTAAAGGGGTTATAAGTATTCAATTATCAATATGAATATATGCAAATGTATCCAGATAATATCTCTGGGTCGGGAGCTGGTATTAGCCAGGCGGCAATCAAAGCTGTCAAGTCAAAGCAAGCTAATTCAAAACTAGTCTCTGGGACTGCTTCGAAATTCTGAATGAACAGAACAGACTGACGGACTATAGCATGGGTCATGGGTACCAGCACATACAGGTTATGAGGACAACAAAGAGGCAGATTTACTAGCTCGAACTAATTTTTCCATTCCTTCACGAGAGCACTCAATTCAAGGGATGCACTATAATTCAGGGTGTCCCTACGGGAACTGCATCGATCAATATATAGAAACCATGGATGGGCCGAATTTGAAAATTTTGTAGTTCACTATTGTTGATAAGTGCTATCCGGTTGAAAAATTTTGAAGATTTTGGCACTTTCGGTTGTACCGGAAGTGCACCCCAACTTGTACCCTGTATTTTATTGCATTTTTAGATTCTTACTGAAGAGCTGATTTTATCAATGCATCACACTTGGGGTCTATCAGGAACCGGAATAACCAGAAGTGCCAAAATCTTCAAAATATTTTAACCGGATAGCACTTATCGACAATAGTGAACTACAAAATTTTCAAATTCGACCCTCCTATGTTTTTCTATATATTGATCGATGCAGTTTCCGGAGGGACACCCTGTATACAAACCCAATGTGTGATATATTTTTGAATTCAGCTTCCCACGTAGATTCCCAAAATTTGAGAATATATAGGGTATTCCATTTGGAAAAATTGTCGCGGACGTCATAACTCAAACGTGGATCACCCTGTATATAAAATTTCTTCTCATCAATATGGGAAAATGAAAATAAAAATCGACTTATCTCAGGAAATTCCTCAGAAATTGATAGTTTGGCTAAAAATTAATTTATTCAGTACTCTACAAAAGCACTGAATAAGGTCGATTACCTATAAGGCTGACCCCGTGGAAGTTGTAGGACACCAAATTCAACTCTTTGAAAATAACTCTTTGATTAAAACTCACGAAGGAAAACAAAAAGTACGGTTATGTCTTTGTAGATGTTTGTCCTTCAAATATTGTAATCATATAGTTTCTGTGACTATTTCACTCATCACATAATCTGAACAATCAAAAACCAGAGACAACTTGTGTCATTCCGAATACACTAGCTGTCTTTCAATTCTGATTGGTCTATCAGCGTTGGTGTTTTCAACGATGAGGTAACCATGGAAAGCGAAGCAAAGTCTGTCAGTTTGCCATAAAATAATTATGGCTGTATTTGCCAGAATGAATCACTATCATTTATGATAAATGCTTCTTATGCTTCGTGAACGTGAAAAAGTCTAGCCAAATACCACTCTGTTCTGAATATCTTCTCATAATTCTGTCTTCCACTGTTAACTCAATTGTGTTTCCGTACAGCAATACCACTCGTCCTAACGGACTCGCGTGGTGTTGCTCGGCAACACAATTCGGTGGACAATGAAGCGACAGAATTATCTCGAATATTCAGAACATCCTGATATTACTTATGATGGAAATACAATTTGAAACTTCGATTGCAAAAAAATTGCGCTTCCAATATGATGGAAGTATATTATAATTATACTCGTCCGGTTGGACTAAAAATATAATTCTGAGGATATTTGAAGTTGAGGAATACGATTTTCCCAAAATTCAGAGTATCAATAAAGATGGCTAATTTAATATTCGTACATACTTACTTCGTGTTCAGCTGCCTCTGTATAGCAAGTTTCTTTTCGATTTGTTCTATGGGGAATTGGGGCACTTCGTACGGAGCCGATATCTCATTTGGGAGTTCGGACTGTCCCCCAGAGAACGGTTCATTTCCAGGAAATGAAGGACTCTCATTACCTACAATACAAAATCGAAGGTTGAAGCACGGATATTCCTTGAAATGTACCTAATCGATATAATCACGTTAACATGTTCGGGGAGGTAGACAACTTCATGATGATGATCTGTCGTAATTTGAGTCAAATTAGAAGAACGAATATTCACTTGGGTAGGTACTTATAGTCTAGGATCCGACGTAAGGTCGACCTTCATCCATCTGTTAATGGATGAAAATTATTTTATAAGTAATCTAGAAATTATTAAACAAAAGGGTTCCCAGCAAACATTGAACTGCCGGGGAAGTCCGGCCTAGTGCAGGCAAGTCTGGGAAAGTGACAATTAATACAGCGATATTTGATGATTTATTTATGCTGAGTAACTATCAGTTGAAAATACGTTGATGGCCTTGTGATGGTGAGATGTCTGGAACTAGTTGAACACCAACGAGTTGTGGCCGTTTGCTGGCCATATTCCAGTTCACTATTCGTCCCCCTGGTGGATGTTCTGGGAACGTCTACATCAACAATTAGCTGATCATTTGGATCATCATTTTATATATGTGACTCTAGTGATAGCGTATATTTCGTTTTCCTCTGGTTTCTTGTCGAATTATTGTGCTCCTCAATTTCCGTAGTCGTTATTTATCATGACAGGAGTATTCTCAATTGATAATATGGGATATGGATTCTCCTTCAATTATGATAATGTATCAATCTACCTATCTAGTATTTCGAATTTCAATGAGAAAATGCATTTGTTGGGTATCTCATAACCTCATATACCTGAAATGATCATAATAATTGGAGTGGCTCTGACTCTCCAGAAGCATAACTATCATGTTTAACTCGTTCGTTGCTATCGAGTTATCAAGAAATCTTAGGTTATGTAAACCTGTCTCTATTATAGAACTGTAAATATCATTCATTCATGAGATTGTTACCTTGAAATCGGGTATGTGGTTACATTAACAACTAGAGAGTTACTAGAACTTTCAGATCAATTGGACCCCTAAAAACCCCTACCCCTACCTCGTTAGTATGTAAGTAGTACAGTACAGTAGTACAGTAGTAGTAGTAGTTAGTACTATCGAATGTAAAAACTTCACAAACGATAAGATTTCCACAAAAATCTGCCACCGCAGTGCATTTACTGGGCCGTTGATGTCAGGTATGGGGAGAAAATATAAGTCCATTAATGCCCCATGTCAGAATGTTTGCTGGGTTGCCTGGAAAAATCTTTGCCAGGCTATTATTTATTAAAAATTCAAGAATGCCGATATTTTTCCAGGTCTAACTATAGGGTTGCCAGGTATAAACAGGTATGTTGGTCCTAGTTATCTTCACCTACTTGTTTAAAATAAATAAAACATAAAAATAAGCCCTGTTTTATCGCGAACACAATGATATATATGGTTGCCTCTAGGGTTGCCTGCAATAAGTCTGTCCTGAATGACGGTTGTCAAAATTCAAAAAAGAAATAATGTTAGTGCCACTGTGACGAAGATGTCCGAGACGACTATCCCTTGCGAAAGACGAAGACAGAATAATGTCCCCCATAACGCCCCGGGCGTTATGGGTCTGTTAATAGCAACCGTTGCCAAGGTGTAAGAAGCAGTATTGGAAAAGTGAAAATAGTAATTTTCCTTACAAGTGCGGAAAGACATATTTTCACGCACGCGATTGAGGTTGACCCACCCGAACGACGCGAAGCGGAGTTCGGGAAAGCAGTCGAGTGCGGCAAAGAGTTAGGAACGAGTTAGAAATAGGAACAACTAATGAGAGTATTATATTCTCTATGATAGCTATTGTGAATGTACAGTGGATGCCCATAAGGTGTTTGGCCCGGTTTGGCCACTAGGTTTCAGACATTTCTAGGAAATGAGCCAAAAATACTTATTCTTTATTTGGTGTTTTCATGTTTTCATTGTTGCACTATTCAAATAAACGCGTGTATGGATTCTCATTTCAAGACTTCGTTGGAAATAACGCATCTGTAAATATCACATCTGCGTAGCTGGAAGTTTTTGATTACATGTATGATCCGCCATTGTGGCAAGTTTAAAAATCGAAAATGACAGTAACGCTGATTATGTCACTCCGACAATTACAAACTAATTTGTGGTTCGATTGGCACGGGGTTTGACGACAAATGTTTCCCACATCAGATCAATCGAAATCTACATTTTTCAATATTTCTTAAATTTCACAGTAAATAATGCAATTTGATTCATGATTCTGAAAATAGACACTTAATACTGCACAAACAAGCTTAAACTTTCATATTCCATCACCAAATACTTATATTCTGCGATAAAATTATATCAATGTTTTCCTGCACTAGTATGGGAAAAAAATTCCCGCACTAATGTGGGAAAATGACACTTCCCAAACTAAATTGCGTGCTAGTATAGCGTGAATCACGCACGCTTGTAAAATATAAATTATGACTATTAATTTGACGAATAGATGAGTCCAATATGATATCAAAAATTAATTTGATCATTCACCTATCTATAGGATATAGGAAGGAATTTTTACTGTAGGTATATTTTTAAGAACTGTTTATCTAGGTCTAGACATAAAAGTTATCCAAATGTTCGCTGGTACAAAAATAATAAATACTATATATCTCGCTATCACATGTTGCGTGTTCTAATGCCCTTGGAAAGATAATAAACTCTGAAAATTAGAGGGTAAACTTACCGATAACATTTGTATTTGAACACTCAGTATTATCAATAGCGCTATTCATACCATTTGCGATGTTGCCCCCATTGAACATTGCACTAATATTGCCTGCTGCGGCCACCTTATTGAAGAACATTTTCAATCAACCTCTGATGCATACGAAGTGGACTACACACACCACATTAATTAAAATAAACGGAAAAACGAATGAGGCTTCGCTAATTCTGGCGCAACAGGTTGCCTGAATATCGATGAGACTATGATGAACTACTCTGCTATCACTCTATCACTGTTCTGCTATCCACCATTCGCATCTATGCTATTCCATATGCATGAAGAGCGAGGTCTTCAATTCATTATAATGACATGTTTCTTAGAATTTGAGATTATTTCTGTATCAATCTTATAGATTTTGCCGGGTCAAGTTAAATATAATTAAAAATATCGATACATGAGTGCTCGCAGTATCAGTATATTATCGGGGTTATTAAATACGTCCATGTGTACACCGCTTTTTCATTATTATCTGTTGCTTTCACTAATACCTTTATGCACCACTTTTTTTAAATTTTAAACTATCCTTCTTGATCGAAACATAGTCCTCAGCGTTACTTAGCCCGATGAAAATATTTGTGTTATATCCTGTTGTTATAACATTCAGTGATCACATAATTACAATAAGAATCATTCATTATATTCTCTTCAGAGTCTAATTTGAACAAACGACTAGAATTTTCAGAATTTTCAACCACATTTTGGAAAAAGAAGAGGAAGAAATTCTTCTGACAGAATCGCGCCTGCGCAAGTCACAGTTTTATTTGTATTTGTCGTTAAGAGATAAAAGTTGGTAATCTATTAGTGAATAATTGATGAAAGATAAAATTCAATTTAGGTGCATAATTGAATGCACGGAAATACCAAGTTTCAACTTATTAGTGAAATCGTTAATGATTGTGAAATTACAGATTAATAAAAAGCGGTGTGCATAAATCCGCATTTACTTGGAGAATGGAATATTTGAATTGTTGATAAGCATCGTATACTTTTATTAGGGATATTATAGTAAATGTTGCAAACCGATAACATCTAATTAATCCGGGTGATCAATGTAAGGGTACGAAAAAGAGAGATAAGTCTGCGAAGTTTAAGAGCAATCGGAGTAAATTTATGACATTTATTCAAACTGAAACCTGAGATTTAACGCCACTGAACAATTTTTGCCAGATTTGTTGTTATGGCATGCGCGATTGCCCAGTGGGAGAGAATTCTGTATATGTCATTATCTTCTTCAAAGGAATAACAGATCAAGAACTCAACACCTTACAGCTCAGAGCGCGGCACACAAACGGAAAATCTTCACGAATATGATATAACAGATGGGCACTTGCATGACTTGGTATTATAATTTTTCTAGCAGGAACGCATGATGTATATTCCACAAATGGAGAACGGAGAAATGATGTGTATCCACAGGTGAGCTGTCACCTGCACCAATCGACTTGATAGATTGTATTCATTGAAGAGTTCGCTTTGTAATTCAGTGATGTTGTTTCAGAAAAATAATTCGGTACCCTGTTAAAGAAAAAATCACGATATTCATGACGCAGCAGAATTTTCGAATCGATTTATCTCGAGAATGGTGAATGCAATCGAAACTGAACAGGAGTACCATTTTTGAGTGAAAATGTTGAGATTTACATATTTGCTGGTCAAAAGTGCCGAAAATTGCATAAACAAAAAAGTTGGGAGAAAAAGTGCAGCTGGCCCCAGCACCTATTTCCGATAAGATTGAAATTTCGAAATGTTCTTGACACTTCCGAACCGGTCATAAAAAGTTGGGAACATGGTTATTTTATCACAGAGGGTTTCGGCAATATTCACATAAAACCCTCGATAAAACCATCATCTGGGGCTCCCCTTTAGATGGGTATAACCCTCCAGGAGGCCATTTTTGGGACACCCTGTATACAACTGTGAGATCTACGGCTCATTTTATACCCTCCTTTTCTCTTTTCTTCCTTGTTTTTCTAGCTATATTTCTGAAATTTGTAACAGCTTAGGTATATGCTCATTAGAGGACAGTTTCTCACATTTTAGGATTTTTTTCACATCTTCCGGTTTTCCTAGAAATTACATCAACTTTCGATTTCCAAATGAAACTCCCTGTATTCCATTCAATGATTGGTTAGAGATTATTATAACGAATTCATCGATACCAGGTTTGACAGAGTTAGTTCTGTCTGAGACCATGAAGATTTCTCCAGATATATCTGAGCTCTTTTTCTTTACTTATTCCTTCTAACAAGGAATAACGGTTCCAGCATAACAAAT